TCCTTTTTATTTCAGAGTTAATTGCTCCATTCTCTTGGCTTCTGTGATTTTCTGGCTCTTAGCTCTTAAGTCTTTTTACTTTGTATTGGAACTTAATGGAGTTTAATTGTTCACGTGTTTCTGCCAGCCTGCGATTGCCACAGGAAGCAGAGCCATTGTGTTATTCCAATTTTATTTCAGCTTCTATTATAGTCCCCAGAACAAAGCCTCACACACAATAAGTGATTGATAAATTCTGGTGACTCAAATTAACAAAGAGGATTACTTTTATGCAGCATACTGTACATGAGGTACATATGATCGAAGGTTTTTCTGTCATGAAATGTAGCACCATGGTGCCCTGTCTGCATCCTTGAGGGCTTTGCATGCATGCAGTTTTAATTTCGAGATCTAAATAGATGTGTCGACAGTGCTGAGTCAGACAAGAAATTCTCAGCTTGATTTGCTTTTTCCTCACTGTCATAACACTTATGATCCTGTGGAACCATAAATACTTTCCTCAGTAACGAGGGAAAGAGGCCCACGTAGTGTGATAACAGGGCTATTCAAGATCCGTGATCCAGCCAGATCCTTCTCAGCTTTGTTGCTAATAAGGTCCAGGATGCAGGAGGGAGCCCTGTAATGCACCGTGTGGAAATATGTTTTAAACAGGCGTGAAGCCAGAGCTACTGCTTTACAGAGGCACGGGCACAGGTGTCTGGAATCTCAATCTGGGAGAGGGGCTGGAGGTGACTTCTATTAGCCAGGAATGTGCCTGAGGTTTATTGTTCTTGATAGAACTGGCGCCCAGCGAGACACCTGTTGATCTGTGTGTCAGGACATCCGTGCGGAAAATATCAGCTCCTCGAGGAAAGTCCTTCAGCAAAGATATGAGAGACCCAGAAAAATCAATGCCTCTAATATAAAGGTCTTTCTGCAGGTGCTCCTTTAAGAATGAGGAGACACCGAGTTCTTGACAAGACTTCAGGTCTTAGAAACAATATTTCTTTTTAAAAAATTGGATCTGAAACACAGTGGAGCCTCAAAAAATACCAACAACACCATTCACCTCTTGCCAAGTCAGCTCTTGGAGCATTTCCAGGCCTAAGCCATGCACCAAGGCCAGGTCTTCGAAGGGCTACCCGTTACAGGTCTTTTCGCCAGACTGTCCCCGACTCCACCGCAGGGTTTCAAGGCAAGATCTACCTACACTCTTCACGGCTGTTCCTAGCCTCCTAACTCCAAACCTTTGGGGACCTGAGGTTTCCAGTGATTTCTAGAACTTCGACTCGCTCTACTTGTGCTTCTCTATGACTTAATCAACAACACATATGAAACGCTTTGAAATCTTTGGCCAACAGCATAAGAACGTTATCTCGGTAAATTTTGCATTAATTTAATTACGTGACTGTGACATATTCTTATACATGTCTGTCCACATTCATTTCCCCCTATTTTTTCCCCATTGACAGGTAAAGCAAAGATTTGCACAGGAAGCAGATTCGAAAAAAAGGCCGGGCTCGGTGGCTCAGCCTGTCATCCCAGCACTTCAGGAGGACGAGGCGAGTGGATTGCCTAAGCCTGTAGGTTCGAGACCCACCCAGGCAACTTGGCAAGACCTTGTCTCTACAATAAACCAAAAACGAGCCGGGTGTGGTAGCGCTTGCCTGTAGTTCCGGCTACTTGGAAGGCTGAGGTGGAAGGACCGCCGGAGCCCAGCAGGTCGAGGCTGCAGTGGCCGGGAGTGGCCACTGCACTCCAGTCTGGGCGACAGAGTGAGACTCTAACTCAAAAAAACCAAATAAACAAAAAATACATATTGATTTATTTTGCTAACGGTTTCCACCTCAAACCCTATGAGGTTGGCTTTATTATGATTCTCATTTTGAAAATTGGGAAGAATTTGCATTTTTGAGGTTTTTTTAAAATTTAATGTATTTATCTTTTTGCTTTACATGCCCGGCTAACTTTTTGATTTATTGTAGAGATGAGGTCTCGCCAAGTTGCCCAGGCGGGTCTCGAACCCACGGGCTCAGGCAATCCACTCACCTCAGCCTCCCAAAGCGCGGGATTACAGGCTGAGCCACCGAGCCCGGCTTGCATCTACCATTTCTTGCTCGTGGTTTCTCTCCTCATGTTCTGTTTCTGAGACTTAGAAACCCACCAGGGTATCCTGATGCCCATGGTCTGTATGAGCCACCGGTCCATACTGTATCTTCTGGGCCTCGGCTCTGAGAGGACTTTCACCTCGGAAGAAGATAAAACCCTATAGCGTCTTCTGGAGGCTGTGCTGTGATTAACTTTTGCATTTAAATCTTTAACTTATACATGGTTTATATTGCATTTTGCTTAAGAAAGAGAAATAACATTGTTTGTCCAATTACCAGCCAATTTCCCCAGCTCTATATATCTAGTAAACCATATATTCATAACACTCTGAAATGCTCCCTTTATCATATTCTCTATGCTTATATGTTTTGTGTTCCCTATTCTGTTTCATGGGCTGCCTGTGTTCCTCTGCACCATGCATGTTTTGACAGTATTCTCCTCTCAGTTCTGATGTCTGTTCTTCAAGGAAAGCTTCCCATGCTGTCTTCACCAAGGCAGCTTTGCTTTCTGGGCCACTCTCTACCTTTGCTTAATTTTCCTTATTGGACTGGGCTTGGTGGCTCAACCTATAATCCCAGCACTCTGAGAGGCTGAGATGAGTGGATTGCCGGAGCCCACGGGTTCAAGACCTGCCTGGGCAACTTAGCAAGACTTCGTCTCTACAATAAATCAAAAGTTAGCCGGGCATGGTAGTGCATGCCTGTAGTTCTGGCTACTTGGAAGGCTGAGGCGGAAGGATCGCCGGAGCCCAGCAGGTCGAGGCTGCGGTGGCCGGGAGCGGCCACTGCACTCCATTCTGGGTGACAGAGTGAGACTCCAACTCAAAAAAATATTCCTTATTGCATTAATCACACTCTAAGTTTTCCTACCCTTTTGCTGGTTTTTGTATTTATTGCCTGTCTCTCCCCCTGCAATATAAGTTTTGTGACCTCATCTCCCGCCATCAGAACAATGCCTTGCCTGTGGTGGGTACCAAATGGATATGTGTCCAATAAATGAATTCAAATGGCTTTAATTTTTGTGCCTTCAGAATACGTTCTTCACACAAGACGTAGAAGAGGACGAGCTGGGAGTGCCCGGGTCTGTGGCCCTGAAAAACTGGCTTGTTTCCTAATCAGAGTTCCATACTATGGGAAACCAAGAGGAGTCACGTGCATTCCCTCCCCACTGAGAATAGGGGAGAACACGCGTGGAGCCCGTGTGCTGCTCCCATGTCCCCACTGCTCTGGCCTGTGCCTCTGAACCCACAGGTGCTGCTGCTGATTTGGGGAATGTCCCACGTGCTGGGCCAACCTGCGTTCTCCAGGAGCTCTCTCTTTATGGGCTACGTCTTCCTCGGGATGTGCTCCTTGCATGCTGTGATGGTCAGGAGCTGGGGAAGAGGCAATTAGGCTGCTGGGAAGTCACTGAAGGACCAACCCCCACGCCTGTCCCTGTCGTTTGACCATTCGATCACGTGTTCTGCACACACACCCATCCTAGAGAAGCAGCTGGTACTTTTCTTCTGTGACCAGCGCCCTGTGGGTTACACACACAAGCCTGGAGACAACTCAGAACTGATTACTTCCGATCAGAGAAATTTGGAGAAACAGTCATGTCTGATTTGCTCTAAGGTTGTCAACTAGCACCCAGTAAGAAAATATATGAGAAAAGCACTTTATTACTGATGACACTGAACCTGAGTTGCAGATAAAAGGGAGTTTCTCCTGCCTTGGCCCCCACAAGCAGACCGCAATGGCGTTCCATTATGTGCATAGACAGATACACAGCCAGCTGCTTTGTCCCCAGGTTTCTGCGTCTTTTGGAGAAGCAGCCGTTGACAACAGCTTCCTGCTGGGCCTGTTTTCCGGGGGCAAAGCTTTGCCAGGGCCTTAGCCCTTGGGGCAGCAGTGTGGCCTGACAAGGACCAGGGATGCCACCACAAAGCCACCCCCACGCCCCTGACACAGCGTCCTCATCACTAGATGTCAGGTCATGGGAGCTGTGTGGCTCTTGCTTTGCAGCTGGAATAAAACAGTGCTGTGGCTGTGGCTGGAGACCCAGGGAGGGGGAGGGAGCCCCAACAAGAAGCCACCTCTTTGTCCAGCTCCCCCTTGAGGTGAGGGACACTGAGTAGGGCTGGGCGGGGTGAGCCAGGCTCTTCAAAGGGGCCGAAGGATTGCTGGGAAACTCCGTTTGGCCACTGGCTGGCTTGCCTGGCTTTAAGAACGGAAAACCTTCATGTCTAGTCAGCCATTATCGGTTCGTTCGTTTTTGCATTCATGCATTCATTCATTCATTCATTCATTCATTATCTGTCTGCTCAGCACTGGGAACCCAACCTTCAGTTCCCAAGTTGAGTGAAGTGCAGCCCCCGCCTCAGGAATCGCTACAGGTCTCCCAAAGAGGAAGTCCTCGGTCATGGCAGCAAGCGAGCTGTCACCCTGAGTCGCTGCTTCTGCACGTCGCGAGCTCCTGAAGCTGCAGTTTCTCTACCTCTTTCGTTTCTTCTCATCAGCTGCGTCTTGGGCTGCTGTCAGGGATCTGGGATGAGCTGCAGGAGAGCTCATTCTCTCGCTGGCTGAGTACCTTTCACTTGACACCCGGTCTTGGCTGCAGGCTCGAGGGACCAATTTCCACCCATCACCTCTGTGTCAGCGAAATGTGGCTGCTGGCACCTGGGAGTACTTTGAACTGACTCGTTTTCTGGGACTGCTGTCACTTTGATCGACTTGGAGCCCCCATTTATAACTTTTTTTGTGGTTTGTTTTTCAGTATGTAATTTACTTTTTGAAGGCAAGGGAGAAACTTGGGATACCTCCATAAAAGGATATCTCCTTTTGGTTCTAGTTTTCCCATTTATTCACAGTGGGAAACCAGGATGCTTAACCGAGGAAAAAGATTGAAGAGGAACCTCCCTGTGGCTTGCAACGATGGCCGTGTGGCTCACCGGCAGTGTGGTCTTGGGACCCCCTCATCTGCGATGTCTCGTGTGCAAAATAGCAATGAGACTCACCTGCTGTGGACAGGAGATGACGGTGGACCACGTCCTTCTGCGTTGGGCCCATTTTATCCTGGACGCCATTTTCATCCTTCCAGAAACAAAAACCCATTGCCCAGTAAGGCCTCCGAGCACCCCTGATCCGTTTTCATTTTGAAATAACGAGAAAGACATAAAAACCACTCACTCTTCCCGTGGCACATGCATCTGAGTAGAGGGGGAATACCACTGAGACCTCTTGCAAACTCAACACCCTAGAAGATGACTCTTCCAGTTAAAAAGCATTTCATGTATTTGCCATGATTTAGACTTAGGACACCTTCTGGGACGGCAGACAAGGCATGGTCTTCCAGAGGTAAAGAACCCGCGGGCTTGTGGCACCATCTTTCCCTGGGGGGCTAAGCAGAAGAAGGGGCTCGAGGAGGCTCCTCCTGGATGTTGTCCGTCTTCCTTGTCCTTGGTGGCCTTTGGATGGTGCTCACTGGTCCTGGCCAGGGTAGACTGTTGTCTTGATGTGTGTGTCTGCTGCCTGGTGATCCCTTGGCCTCTTAAGGAATGGGCTGCATGTCAGCTTCCGTCCCCTGCATTCCCTGCACCAGGCCATGGCCCCATGACTGCGGGGTCAGAGTGACAATGCACCAGGTTGAGCATAGTACCATGCATGCTAGAGGGAGGCACCGGAAGGGCCACAACGGCAGCTTCCTGCCCTGCCATGCCCAGGAGGCTCAGAGCCCCCTTCCACTGTCACCGGACAGTGTCAGGGAATGGGGACAGCACCCTTCTGCCGCAGTAACAGATTGAATGGCCCTCCACACTGCCGCTCACAATCCAGTTTCTCCGAAGGTTCGTGCTCCATCAGAGCGTTACTCTCAGTCCTTGTGAAAGGGGGGGTGCTCTTCTCAGCTGGCAGACTGCCCGTGGTCCCCACCCGACGTGTCGCCCAGTCCCAGTCACCCCAGAGGACCAGCACATGCAGTGAGGTCTCTCCTCAGACACAAATCAGCGTTTTGTGGACATCCGAGTGGTGACAGCCAGTTCCTCTCCTCTTCTAGTGAAGTCAGTGAACTGAAATGCCGGGGCTGCTTATACCACGTTGATAGATGTGCGTCCTGGCTGTTCGTGCCTGGGCACCCTACAACGTGTCTCAAAATCATTCACCCATTGAAGCAAAGATGGGCACGGCAAAATATAAAATGCATCTTTAATTATAGCAGGAAAATGGATCTTTCTGTAAAGAATAATAAATATTTATGGTAAAAACACCCCAAAATAATAAAAATATAAAATTTAAAAAATGAACAGTTAAGAGATCAAAATGTTAAGATTTGAATATTTCTCCTTCCTTCTGTGCATACATTTTCAGAGAATTTTATTCTCATTTTTTCCACAAGATATCAAAAGCGTTGTCACATGTCACTAGCACAATTCAACAACTGGATTGAATAGTGTCATAAAGACATGTCATATTTTATTCAGCACTCTCCCAGGGGTGCTCCTGGGTTTTCTAAGGCATGAGTGTTATAAAATGAGTGTTTTGTGTATAAGTTCTTAGCTACAACTAGGGTTTCCTCTGGAGAAAGGTATTGACGCATAGGACGTGTGTGCTCTGGGGTCCACCCATCTCAGTTAAAATTTTACCTCCCCACTTACCAGCTGTGTGACTTTACAGAAATCTGTCGGTGCTCCCTTTTCCTCACCTGTAGGATGTGTGTGCCTTATAAGCGGGCAGAGTCCCACCCTAGGATGGGGCACGGGAGGAGTGTGGCTGTCTCAGCAAAAGTCCCCAGGGCATGTTGACCGCCCCTGTTGTGTGGCTGTTAGTATGCTCATCAATGTGATTATTGGCTCAGGGCTGACACCCAGAGTGGATTGACAAGCCCAATCACACGTGCTTCTAAAGATTTGTGTTCTAATGTGTTTCCCAAAGGATTGTACCAAGGTCCTTCCAACCAACAATCCTCAGTATCTTCCCCTCCTCTAGCATGAAGAGTCGTTTTCTAAAGACAATACACAACAAGACCCATTGAGGAAAATCTGCATCTTTCTTATATGAGTTTTCCAGTCAATGGGTATGTTACATCTCTCCACTTATTCAGGTCTTAATTTCTTCAAGCAATAGTTTGCAGTTTTCAGTGTATAGGTTTTATACATATTTTTAGAATTTATCCTTAAATATTTCATTATTGTGAATGGTATTGTAAATGAAATTACACCTTTTAACTTCATTTTCAATTGTTTGCTGCTAGTATATAGAAATGCAGTTGATTTTTCTGTATTGACCTGGCTTTCAGTAATATTACTAAACTAACTTATTAGTTCAAAAGTATACTAACTTATTAGTATACTTTTTTAGTATTTTTCACTAACATAACCAAGTCATCGGTAGAAAAAGACAGATTTAATTCTTCTTTTCCAAACCATGGTCCTTTTATTTCAATTTTCTTGACAGCTATGACTTCTAGAAAAATGTTAAATCGAAGAGGTAAGAGCAGACATCCTTGCTTTATTTTATAGAGTTCAGTTTTTAACGTATGAATTAGCTATGGGTTTTACACAGATGTCCTTAACTGAATGAAAAAAAGCTTCTTTTTTCCCCTAGTTTGCTGAAATTTTGCACCATGAATGGTTTGAGTTTTGTGAAGTGTTTTTTCTCCTATATTGAGATAATCATATATGATTTTGTTATCTTTTAATACAGCATTTTATATAGATGGATTTTAAAACTATTATAGTAATCTTGTCCTTTCTAGTATGGAGGCTCTTCTACTAAATAGCAAAGCAAAACAAAAAGGTTTACTGGGAAAACTTCTAAGTTCTCTCCATATGTTATCCTTCTACATATTGTTGTATTCAATTTGCTAATACAGTATTTTGTGTCTGTGTTCACATGGGCTATTGTTTGGTGATTTTCTTTTTCCTTTTGCAATGTCTTTGTCTCATTCTAGTGTCAAAGTAATACTGACCTAATAAAATGACTGAGTGGTAGTTCTTCCTTCTTACATTTTCTTTTCTTTCTTTCTTTCTTTCTTTTTTTTTGAGTTGGAGTCTCATTCAGTCTCCCAGACTGCAGTGCAGTGGCACGCTCCCAGCCACCGCAGCCTCAACCTGCTGGGCTCCAGCGATCCTTCCACCTCAGCCTTCCAAGTAGCCAGAACTACAGGCACGCGCTACACGCCTGGCTGATTTTTTTGATTTATTGTAGAAATGAGGTCTCGCCAAGTTGCCCAGGTGGGTCTCGAACCCGTGGGCTCAGGCAATCCACTCACCTTGGCCTCCCAAAGCATGGGATTACAGGCTGAGCCACCGAACCCGGCCCTTCTTCCATTTTTGAAAGAGTTTGTGGACTGGTGTTATTTTGTCCTTAAATATTTCATAGATTCCACCATTCCAGCTTAGTGTTAACTTTTTTTCTTGTGTAAGATTTTTAATCTTCTTTGTAGAAAGAGGGATGATCAGATTTTCTGTTTTTTCATTTATCACTTTTGCTCATTTCTGTGTGTTCTTGTGCCAGTTTTAATAATTAATGCTTTTTAAGTCTAGACATCAAATTTATTCATATGACATTGCTGTTATGATTGCATTATTATCACTTTAATACTTATAGGACCTGTAGTAGTGTCTCCTCATTTATTCCTGGTATTCATAACTTGTGCCCTCTCTTTTTTTCTTGTTCAGTTTTTTTTCAATTGTATAGGTCTTTTCAAAGAACCAGCTTTTCTATATTTTTCTGTTTTTGATCCCCTTGATTTTCAATCCTATCTTTATTATTTACTTCTCTCTATATTTACTTCTTTTTTTACCTACTTGAAGTAGAAACTTACATTCTTAAATTTGAATTGTTTTTCTTTTTTAATACTAACATTTAATGCTCTGAATTTCCTTCTAGGCATTTTCCTAGCAGTCTGCTCACATTTCAATATGTTGCCTTTTTATTTTCATTTAGTTCAAAGTATTGTCTCAATTTTTTTGCTATTTCTTTTTTTGCCCATTGATTACTTAAAATTGAAATGTTTCATCTGCAGATATTTGGACTTTCAAAAATGTTTTACTATTGTAGATGTCTAATCTAGTTCTGTTGTAGTCAGATAATATTTTCTACAGTATTTATTTTGAAATTGGTTAAGACTTCATTTATGGTTCAGTGTATATCAATAGTTTATTTTGGTGACTGTTCCACCCACACTTGAAGAAAATGTGCTCTGTAGTCATTAGATGCAGTGTTCCACAACTGTCTATTAAAATGGTTGATAGTGCCAACATCAGATTTTCTATATTCTTGCTCATTCTTTACTTGGTGTGCCAATTATTGAAGAAAAGTATGTTAAAGCCTCTAACTTCGTAACTTTATCTTTCTCTGTAATTCTCTCAGCTTTTGTTAAATGTATGTTTCTGGAGCATTGTTATTATAATTATTATACTTCTTGATGTTATTAGCTCTGTTTTCTCTGTAAAACATCTCTGTCATTAATAATACTCCAAGTCTTAAAGTCTACGTGGTCTCATATTAACATAGTAACAGTAGCTTGCTTGTGCTTGCTGATTACATTGTGTGTCTTCTTCTATCTTTTTGCTTTCCCTCTCTTTGTGTCTTTGTATTTAAGCCACAACCTTTATAAATATTAGTTTATTCTCTTTTTTCCTCCCCCCTGGCAAAATCTGCCTTTTGATTAGGAGTGTTTAATCCATTTATGTTTAATATAGTACTATTTTGCCCTGCCACTTTGTCACTTTTTAATTTGTCTCACTTATTTATCTATTCTTCTTTTGTTTTGACCTTATTTTGTATTAATAAAAACTATAGAATTTTCCATTTAAATTCTTCTATTGCTTTTCTAGCTATATTATCTTTTTGAATTAATTATTGGTGGCAAACTCTTGGGAATACCGTATTCATCTTTAATTTATCTCAATCTGCATAGAGTTAATATTGAATTACTTGAGGTAAAGTATAGGAAACTTGCAAAATAGATTTACATTTTTTCCACCCTTATTGCTCTTGTCATAGACATTGTAAATCTGATCCAGCATTATGACTTTTGGTTCAACAATCATGCGTCTTTTAGAGAAAAGAAGAAGACCAAAAGTATAACCGTTTTTATTTGACCATATAGTTGATAT